TTAAATATAGAAACTACATGCTATTTTGTTTTTTTTTTATTAAAAAATTTAAAATAATATAATCTTCATCTCTCCCTCTTTTCTCCTAGCTGATGAATCTCTCTTCGTATATCTAGGGCCTCCCAAATTGAGAGAGCGAAAAAGAAAATGATGGAGATTTGCAACAGGTTAACCATAGTAATTAAAGTTCAGATTCAGATATGTTCATCGAAGGATGAAGCTCACAGATTCTTGTTGGACTAACAAATCTTTAAAATAAAAAAAAATTCGAGCTTGTGAGGATTCTGGGTTTAGAGTTATTCTTTGGTGTGGTTTTGGCAAATTAGGTATTACAGATCATCAAAATTGGAGAAAATTGTCGAGCCTTATGAGTAAAAATTGGTTCATTAATTCTTTATTTTGATTTGTTAGCTGAACGGGTTTATTTTAAAATAAACCACAAATTGATTTGTTTTGATAAAAATGACACATGGTTTACGCTTTCAAACCAGAATCAACCGGATTGGATTAATAAAATCAGGAATTTATCATCTTTAGCACAAGTGAGCCGCTTGTGTAACAAAGCAATAACCATGGCACGAAGCACGAAGCTAAAAAAATTGAGATGTTCACAGTGCGAATTTCACCAGATCACAAGTTTAGAAACTGGATAAAGAAGAGAACCTATCAAAAATCTTGACTATGATCGAAAATCATAATAGACGTTTAGGGAAAAAAAGAAGAAACCACACAAAAGAGAAGAAATCGATTTAGAAGAATAGAATGAGCTAATGTCTTGTCGTTTTTTAAATCGTCAACATTTATTTAAACATCATGCCATTTTTGTATACTGAAACGCAACGTTTAAATTTCTGTGAGTTTTGTCACAGACGTTATTCGAAGCCACGTCATCTAAGGGTTATATAGCGGGTTACTTTTGAAGTTAATAAATTGACCTGCATTTTTTCAAGTTAGGGTTGATCTTGCAAATTTAATTTAGTTTAAGGGTTTATTTATAATTATCCCTATTATAAATTATAAAACTTACATGAGACTTTGGTTGCTTAATAGGATGTTCCGACTTAGTTAGAAAACAAACAGCTCACAACACCAATATGCCATAATGTAACTCTAGCAACATAGTCATATGCATTTGAAATAAGCAACCAAAATATAACGATGTTTTACTAATGAAATGATTATGCATTTTTAATTTTTTTAACACAAACAAATGCATTTTTGAGATCCAATTTACACAAGTTATTAAAGCTTAATAATAACTTTATCCAACAACATCCTATATGGTCCAAGTTTATAACTGAATCAAAGTTACTCTTAAACAGTATCAATGTCGTATGGCCAATTTATTGGATCGCATCGAGAGAGAGACAAGATTAGAGACATGTGAAACAAATAATATTAGGATAAAATGGTTAAAGAACTAGAGAAGACCTCTAAAGATCAATTAAGAAAGTTTTGGTTGCTGAAATTTTTAACTCTCTTGTAAGACATGATGGAGAATCTTCAAAGTTTTTTCAGTGTATATGATTGTAATTTTGTTAATAGTAAGCTCGACAATATCTTTAAATGATCATAAAAGAATTAAATGACTACATGATCATGATCAAATCTATAATTTATAGATCTTGCATTAATAAGAGAAGATATTATCGGTGAAATCTCTCAAAATTTGATTGAAAAAGCAGAATTAAAAATTTTCCCGAAAATATCTTTGATCTGAATCAGTTTAAGCACCTGATTCACCATTTCACATCGCTTTAATCTTCTTCACTCGCTAACGAGTAGGAAAATATTCTTACTTCTGGAAGAACATTGAGAAGCTCGAGCAAGTTCCTTCGCAGGTGCAGGTGGAACCTCCATTGCGCCCAAAAAAACGAAATCCAATTCTACCTTCCTTAGTCAGAAATAAAATTAGAAGCTAAGCGATTTGAATCAAAGATTGTTCAAGTTGAATCGGAGATTGTTCCAGAAGATGCATTGAATATCTCTAACAAATCGTCAATTGTTAGAGATTGAAAAGTATCGAGACTTTCCCAAATTCAGAAAAGAAAAAAATGAATGTCACTATGAGTTGCCTGATTGACAACAACAATTTAAGATTCCTCTCAAATGGGCTTAATTATTATACACAAAATATGAGTTTGGGCTTCTAATTAAACTAATATACTGGCCCGTCATAAATGTTGGTAGTAAACTTAAAACATAATTGTTAAATGGTTAAACGGTTTTAGAAAAAAAAAAACCCGCGCGGATCCAAGCCCTAGTTCTTGTTTATTAAAATTTTGTTTTTATTGTTAAAAAATACGATTATAAAGTTATAAAAATACAATATTTTATCTCTCATTCAAAAGATTGGGAATGGCAAACCTTCAAAAAGATTCTTTCTATTCTTTTTTATACTCTTTTGGAAGTATATTTTAAAATAGAGGTAGAAAAAAATTTATTTTTAAATTTTGTCATTCTGAATCTTTCTAATGAGAGAAATCTTGTATTTTTATAATTTTCACATAGTATCTTTCTGTGATGAAAACTTTTTATCATAAATATATTTTAAAAATAATAAACAAGACTATTTATTCAAGTTTTACTTTGTTCAGTAAAATCATCATTTTTTAATTTTCATTAAATTTATTGTTCACTGCATCTATAAATGTTTTGAAACTTACAATGAATTGAGTTGACCTAATATCATCATATATATCACTTAAGAATCAAAATATAAATATATTTGTTGAAAAAAACCAGTCATATGATTGTAACAAAGTGTTTTTTCATTAACTTGATTATAGATTATAATATACATACTTTTGCTATTAATAGCATTCAGTGCAGAAGCAATTACGGCATGATGCATACATACTCTGTGTATAAATAACTAACAAAGGTAGAAATAACCGATGAAGGTATGTTTTAGGGTTTTGTATCTTTTTGAGGAATATTTAATGACGAAACATAATGATTTAACTTAATTTGAGTCTCATCATACCAGCGTTCAAGTTCCTTGTAATTTTCTAATCGACTCTGCACAAAGGTATGTTATTCGTCTTCCTTCTCTCGACTTGCATTATTGTGCCTTTTACGTAGTCTAAGGAACAATAGAAATGATATAATTTAAAAAATCTTACAATCAATTTTGATATGTTATTTGACTAGTGATGGTCTAGATTGTGTGATGTTTAAGGGTCATGGAGATATATATACTGTTGGAGAAATTAAATAGATTATGATCAATTTGGGATGTTATGTGATAACTGATGTGGGCTCGATATCGTGGATGTTAAAAATAGTAAAAATGATATACAATTTTGAATGAATTGAAGAACAATATGACCAATATATGTGATTAACGATACTTAGCTAGATGACTGATGTGAGACTCGGTTGAAGATGCAGAAAAGTGAGTGGTCTAACGAAAAGATCAACTCTATTATTTTGTATGTTCTCGCAGTAAGATGAGTTTCATGTGTAATTAAGTTTTTGTGAAATGGAAATATTCTTTTGAAACGCAGAATAAATGCTTGATGAATGCTGTGTGGTTGGTCATAAATGTTATAAAAGATGCTCTTTTTTTTTTTATCAATAGGTTGTTCTCTTGTATATGGTTTAGTTGAGTGAGTTCCTGGGTGAAAAGACAAGAGGAGTGATATCTAGTGTTAACATTGTTGGATAAATGTTCTTAATCGGAGACTTCTACAATAGATTTTGGAGAAAAGAGGTACGTAACTTTTTTCTTTATATTTCATGTCTGCTTAATAATCAAAATAAAATAAATAATTGTTAGAATTTGTTTTTGGTAGTTTTATTTTGATATTTTAAATAAATCTTTTAGTGGTCTGATTTTATTTTCTATTTTTTGTTCTTAATTTATTTTCATGAGTTTTATAAGTTATTTTATTATATACTTGTGTATAAACAGATTATTTTAATATGGTTTAAATGAAAATCAAAAATTGATACCAAACTAAAAAAGGAAAAAAACGAAGTTTTAAAAAAAATTAAAGATATATGTTTTCATGAAAATCCGAATCTAAACTGAAACTGAAACTGAACGAGTATCAACGAGAAAATAAGAAATTGAGAGTCTTTGGTAAAGTTGCAAACTTAAAGTTCTTAGTAAAGTAGAACTTCTCTAAATTAATACTCGATAAATTAATAATCACTATAAATTAATAACTTTTACCGGTTCTAAGTCGGGCCAGTGTAAAAATTAGCAAATTTTGATAAGATAATAAGATAATAATTTTTTTGAAACTCCTATGTAAAAATATAGTCCCAATAATGAGATGAATTAATAATTATACATTTAAAAATATATGAATAATATAATATAGTAAAATATAATTATATTATTGTTTCAAGTTTATAAAAATTGTTTGACTTATTTTTCAAATTCACTTATATAATATTTTCTGAATAAATTTTACATTATTGAAAATATTTTTTTTTTTGTTTTTTGACAAATATTTTGAATTTGAACTGAAATATCTCTCTATAAATTAATAAATTATTATTTTCTCGATAAATTAATAATTATTAATTTATCGATTAATTAATAATTCTATAAATTAATAAATTTTTGAAGTCCCAATATTATTAATTTATAGAGATTTTACTGTATGTTAATAAAAAGTGGTATTTTAAAAGCATTCTTCACTTGCATAAGGAATTTTCAATTATTCCAATAAGAGCTTCCCCTCATCTTTTTAGTATTCTCTTTTTAAAATCCATAAAGTAACACTAACAAAATTAGTTTCCACCATCATTAGCTAATTCAATTGTATATCTTTAAACACCAAGGAAGTTGATCTATGTTTTAGTTGAGGAGGCCTCATTGAGATTACAAATGAGCATAATCAAAATAGCAAGAGAGACACTTGGAAGTTGAAAGAAACAAACTTATGGTTAAAATAAAGCCTATGTATACGATCGCAGTCTCCTTTTGGCTCTTCTATCAAAACCACAAACCCTAAATAAGTGTCCTCCATGACTTCTGTAGACTATTAAAATTTTCCACGCACAGAAGGAGCCACGATGTGATCACTGTGGTTGCTTGACGAACAAGTCTCCTCATGTTCTGGTAACCCTTTAAATCCGTCATCCGAAGAAGGTGCCACGATGTGATCAGTGTGGTCTGAAGACTCTTTGATTACGTCTTTCCAAGTATCTGACATGTCTTGATCATCCGTAGTGTGGCTAACCTGGTCTGTCTTTATGCGTTTGTTGCTTGTCGGAGAAGGAATGTGTTCGTGAGGACCAGAATCGATGTACTTTATCAAATCCTCGACAAAGCTCTGGGAATCAATCTCACCGCTCCATGAACGCATCTCCTGGCCATTGAGTGGGTCGATGAGGAGCACCACAGGAGGAGCAGATTCGATCTTGTAAAAAGTAGAGACTTGCTTTCCTTCGGTTGTGTCATCGTAGACTTGCAATAAGATGAAGCTAGACTCGATGGCTTGAGAAACCGACTCGTTTGACCATAAATCTCGGTTAAGTGCATGAGAAGCAAACTTGATCTTGGATTGGAGATTCACAAGCAACCACAGATCCTTTCTATAAGAAGTTGCTTTCGCGTCTTCAAACGAACCTTTAAAAAGAAGCTTCCGAGGAGGACGGAACAAAGAAGACAATCTAAAATCTGATCCCTCTGATTCCGAATCCCAGATCTCCTCAGGACATACTTCGACCTGAGTTGGATTCGTGGAAGAAGGATCATAGAGAGTATCCCTAATCGAAGGTTCTTCTTCTTCTTGATTCTTCGGAGGTTGATTATGGATGAGAAAGATGTTAATGGCTTCTTCAAGGTTCCAGGATGCTGCCGTAAGGAATCGTATTGCGGTTTGCGCGGTTTGACCGACAGCGATCTCCATGAATGATGAGATTAGTTTCTCTCCTCTTTTCATCGATGGAAACGCCATGGTTTCTTAGAGATAGAGAAAGTGAAGAATTCTGATGAACTTCAAAAGAGTGATTGAAGAAGTGATTTCTCTGACCTTTGCTTCTGTTTATATAGAGGATTAAATTCTCTAGGTTTTTCTTTCCTTTTTTCTGATTAAGTTTGTTCAGCGAAAGAAGAACGCGCACGGAAGAAAAAAAAGGAAAGTCCTTCACTTTGTGGTTCTGTTTGCTAAAAATATCATTTTTTCGTGATACACACGGTTTTGTAAACCGGTCTACAAAGATGATACGGTTCATAAGTAAACCATAATCCCATTTTATTCACCCTCTTCCTCCTCCTCCTGCTCTTTGTACAGCTTCTGATTTGATCCAACAACAAAAAAAGAAACTCTCTTTCATTAGCATTACAAAGCAGCTTTATCTTTGTATCCCTTAAATCCTCTTAAACCTTCCTCTGTAGATAAACCTTTCTTCTCTTTGTTAAAACAATAAACCGGAGCTTGCCATTTCTCATCCTCTAAGACAGCACCAACCTCGTATGTCATCACATGAGCTTCCCTCCCTGCAACAATTTTTGTCCCCACAGAATAAATGTCGCTAGAAAAAAGTAACCGAGCTAGATTCCATGTTAAGTAGTAGTAGACAGTGTTAATGGCGATGTGTATCGATCACCTGTGTAGAAGATCCATTGCACGGGTCTCTTGGTTTCAACATCCTCATAGTACCATATAAAGTCTACTTTCTCCCATACATTGCAGTGAAACCCATTCACATGTTGTTTTCCTAGATACTTGGCTCCATCTAGCCAGTTTGGTCGCAGGATTCCAACCTTATGGGGGACATAAATTCCAAGCCTAGTAAGCGAAAGCATCACAGGTTCATACACGACTATCGAAATCAAACAATTGTCTTTCTTCAAGGCCCTGCACTGAATCCTAATCTCCTGATTTCCTGCTGGTTAAGGATCTTGCGTAGTATTGTTATTAAACAACAACTATATCAAATTCACTAGAGTGAATTTGCTAACTTCAGATGAGATGGGTGTTTATGACATTCTATGTGAACATGACTATGATCTTTCATCAAAACAACCAAGTTTAAGTAAGATGTAAAGTTACTAAAACGTCTGATCCTACAGGTTTCTACTCTTAAATGGTCCTTTTGTAATAATCCAAGAAACCATGTCCTGCGTACTACGGCACAAAGATTATTGGTAACAATCAGAATTAAGAAACTTGGAAGTAAAATCTGCAGAGAGCTACATTTTGATCAAATTGAAGATTTGTGAAGTTCACTTGACTTGAGCTAAATATAGAACTATCTAATTCAGGGCTTGAGGATTTCAATTTCACACTCGGAATGAAACCAGACTCGAAGTTTTCACTCTCTGGAGCAATCTCTGATTTTCTTACTCTCAATTTTCCTAGAAATCACACAAATCCAAATAAGAAATTACGAAATCATAACCTAAATTCCGAATTTCGTTCCAATTCTAAAGCCAATTAGGTATTCTCAGCTCTGCTAAACAGTCGTGCATAGAGACTAGGACCGACCTCGAGCTGCGCGGAGCGGCACGATTTGGACTCGTCGAGCGTGTAGACGAAAGAGGTCCCATTGTTCCATTCGAGGTCGTAGGTAATGCCGCCGAGCTGCTCCTGGATGATATTGAAATTACGGCCGTTGGTCCAGTCGTACCAAAGGTTGATCATCGAGAGGTCGCCGGAGTAATTCATAAACAATAGCGCGTGGAACTGGTGCGGCCATGTCGCTGGGACCGGATCATCCGCGGTGGCGAATTGCACGCCGGCGATTAAGACGAGGAAGATGACGATTAGTCTCGGTGGTCGTCTGATAGCCATTTGGATTGTGTTGGCCGCGTGTGAGGTTTGCTTGATGCGGCAAAGGTAAATCCTCATTTTCATTTATTAAATTAAAAAAAAAAACAAAAATCCTCAAAGAAATAATGTTTTAAGTAATACAGTATTTTCACTATTTATGCAAAATTAATTAGCTTTTAATGTTTGTGACTATTTTATATTATGTAATTTTTTTATTACTGCTTAAATTGAATTTAAGAAAATAACAATTATACCAATGGAATTGGTCATAGCTGAAATTACTTAGCTCTGCAATCAACTTGAGAAAGTTATTCATTGATCTATCGATTTTGAATCTTGCATCTTGTATGAGTGTAAGCTAAATTGTACGTGGAATCAATTCAGCAATATCTTTGGCACTATCAAGCGTAGTCCAGACTTGATGAGATAAGCTCTTGATGACGAATATTTATTGGAGATAAATTGGATAGTATGATGTGTATCTTGCTGATCAGAATTGTGAAACTTGTGAAAACTAAATAGAAAGATTTAAAAATCAAGATCTTATTTCTAACATATTTTTATTATTACTATATTATATTAATTGTTAAATTTGGATTAGGAAAAATTACATTAGGTGGTGTTAACAATATGTTAATATTAATCACTATATATAAATTAAGTCAATTCACATAAAGAGCAATAAAGTAATAAACCATAATAACTTTTAACTATATTTTAATTTATTTCTCAATTAATAATATAATATATATTATTATTTTATATTATAAACACTATTATTCAATAATATATTCTTATTCTATAATTCTGTAATTTCATATGATCTTTAAGACTCGGATCAACAATTCTTTTTCTTTGAGATGGGCTTCTTTTGATTTAAAAAGCTAATGAGTTCAAACAAAAAATTTGATTTGTCCACTTAGTTATCACAGATCAATACAGCTTTTTTTTTTAACTATATTTGATTTGCATAATCTATTTGATCTATATATTTTAATAATAGGTTTTGAATAAAACACAGATTAAAAAAAATATCAAATAAATAACACAGATTAAGTATAATAAGTACATATGAGAAAAAAATAATTGATCTGCATTGATCTGGTCAAAATAAATAGAAGATGAATTTTTCTGTTTTTATCACAAAAAGACAAAACAAAATTGATATGTATACAAAATAATAAATTTTTTTAGTTTTGAAATAAAAAAGATGAATGAAAAAAAATGCAAATAGATTTGTTTGATAAATATTTGCATTTGATTTGTATTTGTTCTGCTATGACTGGCTACACAGATCAAATACATAAGAAATGCAGGTTTATAAAGCAGATCATATGTAAAACATTAGCAGAACATTTATAATGGTAACACGGAACATATGCAAACATATATAAAGCAGATCAATCTGTATTTTTTTCTTTATTCAGTAATAAAAATCTAATAACAAAAAAAATAAAAGTTTTGCATACAGACCAACTTACTTTTGTCTTTTTAAGTTAAAAGCCAAAAAAATCTATCTTCCAATTATTTGAGCACATAAATGCAAGAAACAATTAATCTGTAGTTGTTATGTTTGATCTGCATTTTTTTCATCTATATAACCATTTAAAACATAGAAAAAAAAACAGAACTATCTTTCAAAAAAAAAAAAATGCAGAACTATATGCATTCATGTACCATTTATAGTTTTAATGAAAAAAACAATAAATTTGAATGGAAATACAGAATAGATGCAGATTATTAAAAAGCAGATATATCTCCATTTAATTGCAATTCATCAATTTTAATACAGAACTAAAAATAATAATATATTATTTAATATTATGCATGCAGATTAATTTTTTTATTAAAATTTTCATAGAAACGGCCCAAAATAGATTGGACACATACACGAGACCAATCATGTGGCTTGATTATTTTTATTTTCTATTTTTTACTTTTTAAAGTTACTTATAGATAGTTTTTATTTTCATAACTGATTTTATTCATTTCTCTATACAAGAAACAAATCTAAAATTCTTTCAAGTTTAAAAATATGATTGAATTTTATTTTTCATTTTTATGATTTTTTGAATTTTTTTAATTAGTCAAATATTTAATATATATATATATATTATTTATTTTGTTTCTATAAATGTTATAAACTTAACAATGTTTCTATATACAAAAATTATATATATAATTATTTTACATGTGCATAATTTTTATATAATTTGTTTGCTATAACAAGTTATGCATGTTAATTTTTTTTTACTTCATTTATAAATATAAAGTTTCATAAAGAATATTATACTTAAATTTATAGAAAAATATATATCTTTGTTTATTATATTTTATTATTGATATTAACTATCGTATAAATAAAATAATTAATACTTCTTTACAAAGTTATTGTTATTTTATAATATATTCATAAAATTAATACAATGAATTCATGCACGTTATTTTATATTCTATATTTTTATTGTAAATGATTAAACTAATACATTAAAATATTTATATTGATTGTTTATATATATAATTTTGGATCGTTTTATTTTTAAATATTTAGTTTGTATAATTATTTTTACCCTTCAATCAAATATGATAGTTCAGTAATTTTGTTTGATCTGTTAAATCTGTATTTGTTTTGCATTCTCATTTTATATTTATTATTTTATATTATTACACTATTTAATATAATATAATTATTTACAGATCTGCATTTGTTCTGTATTTTTTCTTAGACTTTGAATGGAAATCAGATATAGAAAATACAAATCAAATAAATAATGTAGTTGAAGCATAACAAATAAATGGATGGTCTGGTCTACATAAATGGATAGGGGATTTGTTCTGCTTTTAGCACTAAAAAACAAGAAAAAATTCAGATAAATTGATTTGCATTGATGTGGTCTAAATAAATGGAAGGTGAGTTGTTATGCTTTTAGCATTAAAAGACAAGAGATTTTTGAATTGTATGCAGATCGGTATTTTTTTTTATCATTTCTATTTAACTCTACAAAAATAGATGAATGGGTGAAAAATGCAGATGAGTCTGCAATTTTAATGATCTGCATCTATTCAGCATTTCATATGCAATTCTATTTTTTTCAGAACTATATATAAATGATAAAAAAATATTGATATGCATACGTATCAAAAATTTCTTATCTTTTAGTGCTAAAAGTAGGACAAATCCACCATCCATTTATTTAAGGTTTTGAATGGTAACACAGATCAAAATATGTAGATTAAACAGATAATGCAGATCAAGAATAACAAGTGCAGATAAAAAAAACTGTTTGATCTGCATTGATCTGGTAAAAGAAAAAAGGTTTTGAATGGGATGCAGATATAATGCAGTATGAATATTGATCAATACAAATGCAGATCTAATGATCTATATGCAACATCTGTAATTCACACATTTTATTGCAGAACAAGAAAATAGTTTTGAATGGTGACATGTATCAAAATTTACTGATCAAACAAATAATGTAGATCAAGCAGAATAAATACAGATCTACAATTGTCAAAAAAAATAAAAATACAGATCTACAAAAAAATGCAGACTTATAAATGATCATATTATAATAAATAAAGCAATAAAAAAATATAAAATAAAAATACAAAATAAATAGAGATTTAACAGATCAAAAAAATTACTAAATCAACATATTTGACTAAATAGTAAAAAAAATATAAAACAATACAAAATTAATATTTAAAAATAAAATGATACAAAATTATATATATATATATAAATAATCAATTTAAACATCTTAATTTATTAGTTTAATCATTTAAAATTAAAATATAAAATATCAAATGACATGTATGAATTCATTATAGTAATTTATATGAATATATTATAAATAACAATAAATTTCGTAAAGACTTGTTAATTATTTTATTTATATGTTAGTTATTATCAATAATAAACTATAACACATGTATTTGCTATTAATTTAAATACAATATTTTTAAGTAAAACTATGTATTTATAAATGAAGTAAAAAATCAACATGCATATTATATAAAAATTACGCATATGTATAATAATTATTTACATATAATTATTAGATAAAAAATTATTATATTAATCAATATTCATAGAAACAAAATAAATATAATATATATATTAAATATTTTACTAAATAAAAGAATTTAATGTACAGATCAAATTATCCAAAACAAATGCCGATTTAACAGATAAACTAATTTATTGAATTATTATTATATAACTAAGTATAAAAAATGTAAAAATAATGCAAATTCAATATTTAAAGCTAAAAATATAAATTTTTATATAAAAGCAATAAATATAATTATTTTAATAACTATAATAAAAACTTTAAATAATAAATACAAACTAAATATGATTAAACATACATATTTTTTTGTCGTTCTACAACATGCATTATAATTTTTAAAATAAAAATTACAGAGTATTTTTGTCTGCCCATAATGTATTTGCAATCATTTCTCTAATGTTTGTCATAAGATTTCCTTGTCCCATTTCTGCTTCTTCCATATCACTTGCTTTAACCACAAAAGTAGTGTTTTAATTTCTATATGTCTCATTGTAGCAGCGAAATCTTCATCTGAAAATTTTGAAATTCTAATAAAATTATGTAATCCCATTGTTGTCATTATCACTTTTTCTGAATATACATATCATATCTAGGAAACCTTATATCTCATACATTTACATCATTTAGGCTTGCATTTAGTTCATGTTTTGGTCTCTTTTTGCATGTTTTCTTTCCCTTTGGTCCCATTTTCCTTTCTTTTTAGACTTAGGTTGCATTTAGGTTGTAGTTTGCATTTTCTATGCATTAAAGATGTTTTTAGATACTTAAGAAGCTATTTGGAGCAAGGAGGAAGTGTGGGAATGGTTCAAGGAGTTAGCCAAGCTGAGAATGAGCAAAAGGAGCTAAGGAAGGCAATTTCTGGTGTCTATCGATCATCTGTATCGGTTTGTGTTGATCAATACAACCCAGCAGAGGAGTGAAGATCCTATCGATCAAGCGTATCGG